TTTTTTTTTTTTTTTGGCAAGTTTGAGGCGTTGAGCTTGAGGGTAGCTGGTTGTGGGGCTGCTAGAGACTTTCTGCAAATATTTCTATTACATTTTTCAATATTCATAAATTTTGTTGCATAAACGCAGAGAGCAAGTGGGCAACTGATTTGATTTTCTAATTTGCCGCAGCGACCGAAAAACTCAAAACGAATTTGAATTTGGGTTGTATGTGTGTGTGCGTCTCTGCTTAGGCAGCCATGTAAACACAAATCCAATCAAATAAACGAAATTAAGTGCACGTTGATTGGAGCCAAATCTGTTTTTCAGCCTGAATGATGACAATCAGCCAGAAGACTGCGACTGAGACTGAGACAAATCGAATCAGCATCAGACAGCGACTTTCTTTTTCTTTTTTTTTGGTTAGTTGTACACAACAACAAAAAATTGATTTCTGCAAACGTGGCACAAAAAATTTCGAATTATTTTTATTTGAATTTACAAACAGCAGCCACAAAATATGCCACACACAAATTTGCATTAGGCACCTGTAATTTCTGCAGCACTGTAGGCACTGGCAACCGGCATGGCAATTTCCAGGCCAACAGCCTCGCTTATCCTCTGCTCCAAGATTACGAAGCGGCTGCCAAAGCCACGCCACGAAATTTTGATTGTTATTTGTGGAGACAGTAAGAGCCAAATCGCTTGGCCGGCCCAACGCCGTGGTTGCGGACCTGCAAGGCTCTCACAGGACACTGGATACAGCACGCCGGATACTGACAGTGGCAGTCGCTTTTATTATAATGCGGACCCATAACTTGCACGAAGGTAGCTGGCGTGGCCTACACAATCCCGGTAGGGGGGGTAGCGGCTAGGGGAAAGTGAAAGCGAAAAATTGAAATGTGAAATATTTTTAAAAACCAATTTCGTTTAGCCGCCGCCCCACAAGTGGGCCGAGTAGCTGCTGGCCAAGGCAGAGGAGTTGGTACCTAAATAAAAATAGAAAAGAAAATGCCATAAACGAAATTGTTTTGTGCTGAATTTGTAAGAATTTCATTGAAGCTAAGCAACAATAATATGATCAGACATATAGTAGATATTATTGCAGCTTGGCTTCTAAAAAAATACAAAAGAAGTAAAAAGTTAGCCATTTAAATAATGTTAAGCCTATTTAAGTGCAACTTCCCTTTCGGAGAGAACCCCAGATGCGTATTGTTTTCTAATTTAACACCACACAAACAAAACCTGAACTGACTTTCAGTTGCTGTCATAAGCACTTCATAATTAGCACACCCAAAATTGGCACACTTTGTTCAGAGGCCAACCCTCGATGGCCGCTAACAAAAGAAAGCGGCTTGCGGTGAAAGTGAAATTGCGAAAATAGGCGCAAAAAGGCAACACACAACAAAGGGAATTAGCAAACATGACAATGTAAATGACACAAAAGACAAACACACACACACACACACACACACACAGGGATTGCGACCCTCAGTTCGACTTATTGACTTAATTGCTTTGACATTTGACGCTGTCAATTTGGCAAAACTGCAAGAGATCGATAAACGATTGGCAAACAGCAACAAACGAGGGTTGTTAGCAAGGGGATAAATGAGGATTTATTAAATTGTCGGGGCGTTTTTGCTAATATTGCAACCTGTTGAGCTCCATTGATAATTAACTTATAGATGAGTTCTTGGCGAACTGTTTGGGCTTCAGATTGTAGCAGCTGCGGACATAGATCGGCCGTAGGCAGCCGTGACAATTAGCATCCTGGGAGTTTCTCACGCGTCTTTGGCTTCGCTTGCATAATGCATGAGGCCTGCTGCTCCTGGAGGCAGCCACTCTCAGAAAACGTGCCCTGACTTCGGTCTCATCGCCGCCTTGGCCTTTGTCAGTGGCTGCCAGCAGCCTGCGTGACAGGAAGCAAATGTCCTGTTGTGTCACTCATATGCAAATTGCCAGGCTGCTAGGCTGCTTCTTAGTCTTATTTTTTGTTCACCGTCACATCGTCTGCTGCTACCTATTAATTAGAATAATAATTAATAAAGCAGCTTCTTGAGTAGGCTGCACGTGCAGTAAAGTAATGCACGAATCTTCAACCCCTTGGCTGCGGTGCGTCTCAGAAGCGCATAAATTAGTTGCCTCATTGGCAGCCGCTCAGCGGTTGAGCAAGAGGATGGGCAGATGCTGGGGCTGGTGCAAGTTACCTGCCAAAAAGCAAACCAATTAAATTACAACAAACAGCAAATGATGCGTACTTAAACACGTCGACGTGATGTGAAAACGAATACCGAATGAGAGCCAAGACCCAGCCGAAGTGTAACTAAATATGATTTTGCTGTTCGTTGGGTTCGACTGGAATTTTAGGGTTAATCGAAAACTCAATTTAAATTTGCATATGATTTCTATTTAATTTACGAAAAAAAAATAAATATGTATACCCAAGTTGAGGGGAGGTTGGGTTGAAAGTCGAACTTTTTTTTGGTATTTGATTTTTTTCTTTTTTTGGCTGGACAGCTGTCGAATGACTGGCAAAGTTTAGCGGCATTTTTGTAGCCATTTCTTTGACGTTGTTTTCCCTGAGTTTCAACAACATTTCAAATGTGCACACACTTCCTGCATAGACAAAAAACTACGACAACAACAACATGAATAGCAAAAGGACCGCATCCGCAGCCGCATCCTGCTCAGCTGCTGCCTCATCGGCTGCTGCGTATGCAAATTTTTTCCTGAAACATTTTCGTTTTGTTAGCAACCTTTTTACGAGTATTATTTCATTTTTTGTTCGTTTTGGGACTCGTTTTCCCGATTGAATGCAGAGTGAAGCATTTTGTTGTCTCGAAAATATGTAACTGACACTTGAAGGGGTGTTCAAGCAACATTTGATGTTGTTGTGATAACCGAACTCGACAAAAAATAATGTTAAAATTAAAAAAACATCAGCTACAGTCAACGCGCAGCAATCTCTAATGTAAAAACTCCATTAGCAGCATTAGCAATCAGCATTGGTAGAGCGTAAACAGTATTCCCTAAAAGTTGTCGCATGTTTGATGATTTACTGAAATATAAGCCTGATTTATGATGCAAAAAATTTACGGGCAGGCCACAAAAACAAGTTGCCGTTTTCCAAATGTCGTCTAGTACATTAAAAGTGGCCACACTCTTGACAAAAAAAAAATACGGATAAAATAGTCAAGAAAAAAAGAAGAAAACCATCAGCCGCAGCATGCGTTTGAGCCAAATTGATATGGGCCATTAGGGTGGCTAAAATTCTTATATTTTTTTTGCTGATTTTTCTTCGGCTTAATGCTCCAGACACACGTGTAGCTCCTCGGATTTTTCTCGAGCTCGTTTTAGATGGGCAATTTGTGGGGTTGCAGCGAACTTTATGAGAGCTACGTTAATCTGTACAGCAGTTGTTAAAGAAAAAAAAAAACGATTATCGGAAAGTTATATATATATATATATATGAATAAATAGCGAAGACATTTTTTAAAAATTAATATGCTCTCAGGTAAACGTAAGTCGGAGTATACAGTATTTTAAAAAGATAATGGGAGTAAATAATAGCTAAAGAAAAACTAAAAGAAAAAACAATATTTCGATTTAAATGAATCGAAAATGGTATTTATGTGGAAATCGCTTTCAAGTTAATTCAATTCCACCAAAAATTGTCTCTGCCAGTTTAAAAAATTCTTGATACCTTTTGCCGGCCACAAGTCGAACACCTCTAAAGTGTGCGTACAATATCGTTTAATATGCCTCATCAAAAGTGGAAATTTCCTACTTTTCTCCACAAAAATACTCGCAGAAGGAACAAATATGGCGGCGCTTGAACAGCTTTGGGGTCGCCTTATCCCGAGGCAATGATGAATAACGGTGCTTAGGCGCCGGACATTTGATTAATGATGCGTTTAGCGCCCCAGCACGGGGCAACTTGCGCGCGCACACAATTTTCTACGCCATTTTTTTTTTCTAAGTAAAGCAAAATGAAAATAAAAACGCAGCGCACACTATTTCTCACAATTTTCAGTAGATTTTTTATGCCTGGGCATAACTTTATTTTATTAGCACTACGTGGCAATCTGCTGGATTTTCGTGGCATTAAAAGACAATTTTTACAACTTACCAGAGATGAATTTTTCTTTGCTTCTTCATTTTATACCCCGTGGCCACAACTGTTGTTGGGTATTATAAACATGTGCTTTTGATTTTTACGTTTACATAAAATGCAATTAGGTCTCTTTATTCTCTGCTTTTACTCAACTTCTTAAAACAGAAAAAATTTAGTTTAAAACAAAATTTGCTATTGTTACAATATTCTTGTGTCATAACATAAACCAAATGGAAGCGGATATATTGAGCACGCGGTATCTGGTATTCGGGTCTTTACACAATTTATATATTTCACTTTACACACTTTGTGGCAGACGTCCGTCATTTTTTTGTGGCCAATAAAGCTGCAGACCGATGTTTATTAAATTCTTGCGGGCAAGTTCATTAGACAAAAAGCTGAAATTAATCAGCGGAGCAGGACTGCCTCACTCCCCATCACACCCATGCTCCATGTAAGCTGACTGTCGCATGGCCGTACTGTAGACATAGAGTGTCAGCTGCAGCTCATTGCTGACATAGAATGACCAATATTGCCCACGGAGAGGGTAATATATTAGTATATTTGCACTTGTTGTTGACAGAAGAGGGCTTAGGGTATCCCCTAGTCGGAAGATCCCGACTAAAACCTCTTACCTGTATCTCATTGATAATTAGAGCTGCGACATTGAAATATTTATTTCTTTTAAATTAAAAAGTTTGATTAGCATACTCGAATACATTTATAAATAAGTCTAATCAAATATTATCTCTAAACCTCAACTTAATTCAAGTTTGCTCATTTGATAAAGCGTCGCCTCTATATTCACCCTACCGGTCATATTATTGCCAAAATTACTTGACAAAACTAATAAAAACATCAGAAATAAAGTTTTACTTTTATTTTAGAAGAAAACAAAAACAAGTCATCAAATTTATTAAGCTTGTCTGATGATATATACTTAGAACAGATATTTATTTATTAAACAAAGAGATTATTAGATTTATCATGTGCCAATCGAGCATCTCCTGATTACTTCACGTTCTACAAGTAGTTAAATAGCATCATGCTAAAACTATATATACCCTTGGTTAACTGCAGGGCAGTAGCCATCGAAAGCGGAAGTACATCAGCTGCAGTTAGAACCAGTTCATTCTGCGACTTGGCTAGCATGAGAATCACGATCTTTTGCTCTTTAACCGGCAGCTTGTACCACAACAAAGTCGAGTAGATTTCATTTGTAAAGTGTTCATTCTATAGAGAAATTATTGATAATTTTAAGCTTATAATTGAAACTAAAACATCCTTACCGTGTTCTCCACTATGGTGCCCAGGCCGCAAAAGGTGTACAGTACTATAAACGAATACAACAAATAGGCTGGAGCTGTGGGCCAGACCTTCATAAAAATGCAAGAAATTGTGCACAATATGCTGATGCAGGCCGTTGAAAGCTGGACGAACATAACAGTTTTGAAGACCTTCTTCGTTCCGTGCAGGATCCTGAAAAATTTAAGCGTATATTGTGATCGTTTAGGGGACGTGAATGTTGAACACTTACTTTACATACTTCTGGTGCCAGGCCAGCAGTTCCCAAAACATGCTGTGCATCTCCTCATACTTAACGTTCTGCAGTAGCAGCTCGTTGAGCTCTTCAAATTTCACTTTAAATATGTCCTTTAGTAGCGGCACATTGGTGATAAACAAAAAGAGGTACATGTCGCCACCAAAGTTACCAAATGCACCAAAGATCAAGCACATGATGTGCAGTGTGATCAGCATCAGATGTCCGCTGTCGCTATTGTGATCGATACCCGGCACTAGAAACTGTAAGACCATCAGCTTCTGGTTGTAGGCGATAAAATGAAACAAGGGATAGCAGATCATAGCGGTCACTATGCTCGTGTACACCCATATGAACGCCCACATTAGGTTCCAGAAGATATTGATGCGTTTGTGTAGATATTTTGTATATTCGCCATCCCTTCCCTCGTACTCCTTGTAAATGGCCTCGTAGGTGCCCTGTATGTTACGCATTAATGACGCATTGGTCACACAGGTCAACAACTTCGCTAAGCCCTGCATCGCTGAAGCAGCCACGGCAAATGCCTGCAATATTATCGTCCAGTCGTTATTCAATACCACGCCCACATAAATCGTATACAAGGTACAGGCAAAAAAGAAGATAACGGAGGTGATTACAATATAAGTCAGCGCCCACATGCGATAGTTAGGATCGGAGACATCTGTGCCACAGAAGCCTACACAAAAGCGAATGACTTTCACGATCGCACAGAACCGGGATACAGCCGTTTTGGTCATTGTAAGAAAATGTAAGCAATACAACAGTCAACGATAGAAGCCTTTACCAATGACTGAAAAGCAACACGCCAAGAACATTCCTTTTATGGCCTCTAAGAACCTGACATGAAATGTCAAAATATTGACAACTTAATGGGCCAAAGGATTCTTTTTTATTTAACAATATAATGGGTCAATTAAATTGGTTTTAATTGCCTTAGCCTTAATAGTTGGTTCTAATTGTTTTAAAGTGCAGAGCAACCACACTAAATGCTCTGTATTCTGTTAGCCATAATATGATTTATACCATTTAACGTGAGGCGCTTCCGGGCCCACCCGCTTTATGCATGGGCACATTCAACACCCCAACCAAAAGCTGCACGCAATTGATTTAATATACAATTTTTTAATAAAATCTGCTGTCGAAAAAAAGAAATGTAAGCCAAAAGAAACGAGAAAAACAAAAATGAGTTTGACAAATTAATCTTGTGAAACCGACGTTTAAATACCTTACAAAATAATATATACCACCATATACTAAAATATTCGGAATTTCAAGTGTATTTAATCAGATTTTGATACGCAAGTTGAGTTAAGATAACTTAACTCAAACTATTTTTTTGTTGGTATTTTGTAATCTGAACCTTACTAAAAAATCCTTCATCAAGAAGTATGTCAAAGTCCAGCTAACAACTGCTCTAATATTACAATATATTTATACAACGCACACGGTCCCGTGGCAAATCCTGCTACTTCAGCCTGCTTCCAAATTTCGCATCAAATTTTTTTTCTCCCAAATCGGAAGTGGAAAAGAAAATGTAAAGCGCCTAAGCTTGGGCCCAACAACTAATAAAGGCTATCAACAACAGCTCAAACAGCACCAACAACAACAACAACAACAAAGTCCTAACAACGTGCATAGGACAATGGAAAACTGGCGCAAAACAAACAGCACGAAGAAGAAGAAGAAGAAGAAGAAGAAGAAGAAGAACGAGCAGCAGCACGCGTTGCTGGCAGCGGAGTTGAGAATATTTCTTCATACGCACTCAAGTGTATATTTTCTCATTTTCTTGCATTTAACTTAAAATTTGCTTTGAAGTTTTGACATTTCATAAAGCAGATTTCGTTTCCCACCCAATGTAGATTTTTATTTATACACAACAAAAATGTTCTTCCTTTTTTTTTCTCTATCGAAAATCCAAGCAAACAAAAGTAAAAGCTACGTCGCAGCGTCGACGGCGCCTGCAGAAAATTTCAGTTTCAATCACCCCTGCGGAAGGTGTGGCCTCAACAACAAAACAGCAGAAAAAAACGACCCTCACAAGCTCCGGCCTGTGCGTGCTCCCAGTCCAAATCCCTCCCTGCCCAGACCTGTGCTCACATGAGCCAGGCGCGGCGTATACTTAATATGAAAGACGATGACGAGGTTAGCTTAAAGTAGCCAAGGCGACGTTGAAAAAGCTGCCGCAGAAGTTCGACGTAGGCCTTTGAGGCAGCATTAGCTGCCTCACAAAATTACTGGCTCGTTAGTTGCCAAGTAGCAGCGACGCTGGCAGCGCAGCGACAGCTTCAGCGACAGAGACAGCGACAGCGACTTCCTGTCTCACACGCTCTCTCATGATGTGCGTTTATTCCTTGGTCGCTTGCACACGCACATACCTCTCGGTGGTTGAGGGGCAGGGTTGCTGCCCTGTGCCTCAGGATACGCTAATTTCCAGTCACACATTTCCAGTGGAAAATGCGTATACAACTGCCGCTGGCCGGCAGGCGGCGCCACCGTCTACGCGAACTCGTCTCTACTAATTGCCAGCTCGTTGCCACTTGTTTTGGCTTGTTTATCTCTAATTATATTTTAATTTGCACAATCTTTCTGTTTGTCAGTTTTTCTGCGTTTTTATTTTTCGCGCACTGCCCCAAAGTGTTTGCTCTGCACGCGCGGCATCCCGGCGCACATTTTAATTGCAATTATGGAAGGCCGACGCTTCGGCGATTCTCAAGGCTTGTCCTTGCCACAAGGCGTTGTGCTTGGCACGTAGCAGCATCAATGGGCCACTAATTATACCGGCAGGACCTGGCTAGCCGACACGGCAACAAATTTATGCCGAATCTTTCAGTTGTTTGGGGGTAATTACTTTATGGACTCAAGGAAATTGAGCGAATGCACAAATTCGGAATTTTAAACAGTGACATCAGAGACAATTGGAAACAGTGGGCTGAAATATCTTAAAGTGGCATGTCTTTTCGTGAGTAACTCGTTTGCTTGTGTTCAGACACCAGAGAACTGCAAGTCAGGCAACTTCTTGAGAAATGCTGCCAAAACTTCGCATCGAAAAAATCCGACCGAATATTTTCATAGATGGGTTTTGCTGAAGCCAGTCACGTACGGGGCAGCTCATTTCCTGGCCACGGGTCGCAAAGGTGTCAAACGGATGTAGAGACGTGCCGCGTATGCACAATGTCCTGCCGAAGCTTGTGGGCTCCGCCCGGTAATCAACGGAACCCAAGAAAAAGAAAAGAAACCCCAAGCAATGCCGAAGGAAAGCTGCAGGCGAACGCGCGCTATGTTAATTAATTTGCCAGGACATCCGAGACGAGAATCGGTGGGAGGAAGGAGGCAGGACTGTAGCAGCGTGTTTATTTTATGCCGTCGCGCTTAAGTGGTAAGCCCCATTAACAACTGCCTGTCGTTTGGCAGCGAAATAATGGCGTTAGATCATCGTCTCCCTGGCCAGGACACTGGCTAAGGACGAACGCTCAGCAGTGTGCGTCATTTGAGCGCTGAAAGCTTTCAGCGTAAACTGTTGGAAATTAAGAAATGTTTCTCCACACTCCAGGCTCGCACACAAACACACCCACCCAACTAACCAACTACACAACTGAGGTCCCAGTCGCAGTTCTGATGCCCCCTGGTTCAGGTTCCATCATCGTCATATTTCATGGCTTTTCCGGGTTCTGCTCTGTTGTTTTATGGGCGCCATTTGGATTTGTTGTTGTCCTTGCTGTTGTTGTTTTCGTTGAGTAGTTACCATTGTTAATGTCCTGGCAACCACAAATGGCGACCAATCTGCGCCCAACCACCAGCGCAACGGACGACGGCCGGTCTTTGGTTTGTCTTTTGCGGTTTCCTTCTGTATTTCTCTCTTGGATGTTTTTCTTTAATTTTCTTTCTGGCCAAGTGGCTTGCTTGTGGGCGCGCTTACAATAATTAGATGTAACGGATATTGTAATTGGTGTTAAATTGTGCCAGAGGCCGTGTTATTGCTTGTCATAAAAAAAACCAGAACACGCTCAATTTTTTTTAGTATTGAAAAAACGATTTTGGGCTCAATTTTCGAAGACTATAATTTATTAACGTTAAAGCAGAATTAAATAATTACTTCGTATTTATTTTAAACATTTCGTTAAACTATACTAAAACACAATTCGGTTATTTGTTTAGTTCTCTAGTATACGCACAAGTTCAAACAAGAACTTCACGCAAAGACATATAAGAACAAACTGACTAAACGAATCCTGAACAAATTCAATTTGATCAGCGACAATCTTACCTGACTGTCGACTGTCTCCTAGCAAAAATAAACTCTCAGATTCGAATCTCAGCCTTCTCATGGCCGGCAATTAGCATGACAATGTATGGGATAAGTTCAGGAAGCGAGGGCACAATGCTGAAAGGGGTTAAGCTAAAGCACAAACAAGTTCTGATGGGCACACAAAAGAGGCTTGAGCCTTATGACAGGATATGATTGAGTTTGAATTTGAATGTGAGAGGCCGTCGGTGCTGGCAATACAAGCACAAAAGAGCAACGCGTGTGAAACGATTAACGAACTAAAAATTCTTCAATTCAATTTAGAGAATCTCGACTGTCTATATACTTATTTGTCCCCAAGGAGTAAACTTGCCAGGCAGACCTCGTACATGAATCACACAGCAGCATTTGCATAAGTTGCCAGTCCAAAATGAGATCGGCGCCAACAAATGTGTACAACGTGTGCGCTTGCCTTGGCTGCCCTTTCAGAACTTTGTTTCTAACTCTCTAATCGAATTAGCAACAGTTAACCGGAAGTGCAAAAATCTGCCACCGCATTCACCTTTGTGCTTATGTGTGTATCTCATTGTTTGTTGTGTTTATTTTGCACTGCAGTTTTTATTGTGGTGCGGTGCATTTTATTTTGATTTGATTGTTCGCACATCAGCGGGTAGCCTTAGCCGCCGGCTCTCAGCTCCTAAAAGACCCACCCAAAATCGAGTTTGCTTGCAAATTTTTGCATTCACATTTGCATTTGAATGTGGCTCGCGTGCGGGGCATGAATCATTTATCGCTGTTGCTGTTGATGATGATTCAAGTATCGATTTGCATTGATTTGCATTTCAATTGCACTTTTTCGACACTTTACAATGGATTATTTTGCAGTTGCATAAACTCGATCCCATCCAAACAGATGCGGTCCAATGTGATGTGATTTATTTATGGGCTGCATTTCATTTCAAGTGATTCGCTTGCGGTTCAACTGCTGATGCTGCCGTTGTTGTTGTTGTTTTTGTTGTTGTTGTTGCTGCTGCAAATAATGAGGCTTTGTTTCTAATTGTCCGTATCTAATGATAGCCCTTGAGTTTTGACATTTGCATGTACATATGTACTCGTAGAAATAAATACATTTGTGCATTATAATTCTCGCCTTCAAACTGTCCAAAAGACAAGCTCCAGCTGCCTTGCCAATCTCCGAGTATCTACATATGGCATCTATTTCCTCAACGCGCACAGTTTTCGCATTTCGATGCTGTAATATTTAATTGAATAAAATCATGTCATTATTCGGGCTGAATTACATTCAAAGTGCAGCAGCCATTTACTGGAAAATGCTATTTTTCTTATTGGATTGTATGACATTACTTAATTTACAGCATTTCTCATGTAATAAACGTTCAACTATTATAAGTACTATTTAAATATAAATCTGTTATTTATATGAGTTTTTATACCTACCGACCGCTGTTATCAACAATATAATAAAAACGTGGAGCGTGGAAACAATCAACTACGTGCTAAAACTAGAGATGAGCGGAATTGTAATTTAAGTATTATTGTAGAAATTGCAGTCTTGACACATTCATAACGCTTTTTAAATCGATAGTAATATTGATAGAAATCTTTCCAAAGCTGTTACTTTAGATAGTTAGTCGCAGTGTGAATCGATTTACTTTTTTTGACAGCCACGAGTCTTCTGCTTATTTTCTACTGTATTTTTATGCAGAAGCAGAAATTTTGCTCAAGAGCTATAAAAAAGTTGTTTTAATTATGAAAAAACAAAGCGCTAAAAAGCGACCAGTTACCGAAGATGAAAATAAATCCCGAAAGAAAACAAAAACAGAGAAATATTCAATTGGTGATGGTGAAGACACAGAGAGTTCAGTAAGTAAGAAATTATATTGTATCTGGACGGCGTGCACCAAGGCAAGGATATCACAGTCCAAAAATTATAATATTTAAAGAACAATATCGGCAACAATTTAAATATTCGCTTACAGTTATCGTCGAACACACCAAGCTCGTCATCCCAGGAACCTGAAATATGTAGCTTCAACGACTTTCGGTCAGATCCAACTAACGCTTCGATGTCAAAAACCGAACGCAGTATAGATCCCTTACCGTCCGATTTGGGTATAGGGGATACTTTTGGACTCCCATTTATGTTCAACGACGAAATGCAGTTTGTGGAATCATTTGACTTGCCGAATACCGTAGATAATCAGCAGCATATTTCATTCAAGCCTCCAGAAACAGATGTTGAGTTAGATACAATCGTACAACCCATTTGTTTCAATGATATGCAAGTATTCCAAAGTTCAGTGGACGAGCAGCTCAATAAAAATAGTCCTAAAACTAATCGAACTAATGATGCTTTTGAGGACAAAGAGGACATGGAAAATAAAGAGCTAACAGCTCAGCGGCTTTCCAGTTTTGAAGAAGAGTTGTTGGCAACACTATCAGAAACAAAATCAGGGAAAGACGAACAGTGTTCCGATGATGATATTGAAGAGGCCTTGGCAAAGCTTCCACGAAAAGCCCTGTTCAAAGATAGGAAACACTCACTCCTGCAACAATTAGGCGATAATGTGGCAAGCAGCAAATCTAATGCTGAAAGTTGTGATAATTCCGATTTCGAATTTAGTGATTCGATATCATCGGGAATTGGACAGATAGACGATTCCAATGACGAATCACATTCATCTTATTCACCTATTTCCTTTGAAAATTCTGATGACAATTTGGAAAAGGAGGGCGAGTCTAGTGGGAGAGCGAAGAAATTAAGCCGCAAACACTTGTCCCCGAACTGTGATAAAAATCCAAACATTTTAAATATGGAAGCCGCCCTTGCAGGACTTGGGAATTTGAATGACGTTGGGCCCACTACTGGTGAGGACCTTTTGGGACAAGGCATAGCCATAATATCATCCCATACGTAATTATTAATCAACTTCCTTTTAGATTCTGCCCTGAAAGCTACGAATCAGAGTTCGAAATCAACGAAGGTTCCAACACCATCAAAAGTTCAGCTGATGCAACGATTATTGAACCAACAAACTTCATCTAGAAAAAATAATTCCACTCACAAGAGGTGATTCACATATAAATTTGTAATTAGTACCTTAGATAACTAATATTTAACCTCATATGATTTAGCCAACCTCTTTCGCAAGAACCGCTTTCGTTTATCGCAGAGGCAATGCAAGCAACAGACCCAATGTTTCCAAATTTAAAACCTATTGAATTGATGGAAACAAGTGAGTCTCCAATAAAAACCAGTGCATCTCCAAAAAGCCAGTCAGCTGAGGAACAAAAAAATAACATTGATTCACGCACGCAAACTGGCGATAATAATAGCCCAGGAAATTCAGGAAGCAGAGAATCTTTATCTGTTAGTTGCGCAGAGAAAAAACGACACCTCGAAGAAAAATTAACGAAAATGTCAAGTAATCCGAAGGAGAGGGATGAGAAGTGCAACATTTCACCTGGCAGTATTATGTTTTCGCCACGTTCAGCTAAGGACACGGACAGCGATGATTCGGTTTGGCGACGTAAGTCTCAAGCGTCAAAAAATGATGGTCACAGAGATTTTTACGAAGATGATAGCACATTTGAAGATGACAAGCTTAACTCTGACGATGATGAAGACCATACGAATTCGGATCTACCTTATTCAAATCTGCTTAATGACTATGAGCAACTCTTTCATGAGATTCGCAAGATTATCGATAGAGTACCCAATCGTTTTAAGTATGAAATATACAATCTTCTGTATCCAACGTTAGCAGTGGTCTATCTCCGAATGATTTCCAGCGGGAAGTACCGCAAGGGCAAGGCATTTGTGGAGAGCTGTCTACGTTATATTGATCATTCATACATGGCTCGTGTGGATAAGCTAATGGTATTGCAAACCCCGGGTGATATGCCCATTAAGGCTAGAAAGTTGATCAGCGACGAAAACGCACAGGTTCCAGTCTCAATGTTTGAAGAGACCTATTATGTGTTGCTGCTCTGCATGGAGTCCTGGAGTCGTTCCCTACAGATGACATTCATAAGGCATTTCGACCTATTTCCCGACTACAACAACGGCGAACCACGTCAGCACAGTCGCATTGGCTCTGTTATTTTGGATAAAATATTCTGGGCTACTCCCGAAACTGTCAAAGACAATAAAGAGAGCAGTCCGCGGCCAATGCGGCGCAGGCGCTTTAAGAAGGACAAACCTTCTCCCACGAGAAATGTCCATTTGCCATCAGGCAATCGTCTCTATACTCCTACTCCAAAGCGTTGGGATCTAGAACGCCACAAAGACGACGAGGAACGCCGGGTGCCGCTTAACCGCAACAACCTGCCATCGACTTATCTATACACGGCACTTGAGAGTGTTGAGACTATAATCTGTGCCACATTCTCAAACAAAACTACAATGCTCTCTATTGGCACCGCATCCTCCGCAATTCACGTTTTCGCGCTGACAGCCTCAAAGTTGGTGCAGATCAAGTCGGCCAAGTGCCTTAAGAGACTTGACACAAGCATGTCCGGCATAGACGAGAGCATGTTGGACGCGACCAAAAGAAAAACAAGACGCACACTCTATGGACACCAAGGAGCCGTGTACGGGTGCACATTTGCTCCACACGATCGTTTCCTGCTCAGCTGCGCGCAGGATCGCACTGTGCGTTGTTGGTGCCTGCTCTCCTGGAGCTGTGTTGTTGTCTATCCGGGACACTGTGGGGCCGTCTACAGCGTTAGCTATGCACCGTTGGGTTATTATTTCGCCACAGCCTCGGATGATCGCACAGCACGTATTTGGACGCAGGATAGCAAGAAGTCAGTCTGCATACTTGTCGGACATTTGGCGGAGGTTGTCTGCTGTCAGTTCCATCCAAACAGGCATTACCTGGCCACTGGCTCCGCCGACTGCACTGTGCGCATGTGGGACATTGTTAAAGCCGTTCAGGTACGCGTTTTCAGTGGTCACAGAAGTACTATAAATGATCTGGCCTACTCCATGTGTGGACGCTACTTGGCCTCCGGAGCAGACGATAACTTTGTTATTGTTTGGGACGCTGATAAAGAGGAATTGGTACGCTGTCTATCCCATCACACTGCACCCATCAACTGCATTAAGTTTGCGCTGGATAACAAGCTATTAATGGTAGGTGGCAATGACTGCCAGATGACCATTTGGGATTTCGAGCGCTTGGTTCAAGAGTACGATCCTGAGAAACAAAAAACGGCCAATAGCCAAAATAGCAGTGTCACGGCAACAGAACCCAATAGATCAGAGCTAAGCAGTGGAGATTTCTTGATCAAGGCATATGCTAGCAGGGGAACCCCATTCTATAAATTATGTATTACACGAAGAAACCTCCTGTTGGGTTTTTGCGTTAAACGAGCTGATTATGCATTAAAGGAGTCCAAGGAAACATTTACTAACGATGCTAAATACACAGAATGGCTCGAATTTTTAGACATTCTAAAGCTGAAGTCGATCTTTGCACAGAAAAACAAAGGGGAATCGAATGAAATCGAAAGGATAGAAGAGCCAGAACAATTAATAAATCTCGATGTCGACACCTCTGATGATGAACTTGAAGATTCATTTAAGTATGGACATGAAGAATTCTTTGAAGATAAAGAAGAAGATATGGAGTCATTTAGGTATTCTGAGTATGAATATTTTGAGGATGATGAAGATTCAGACACACTAAGTTGTCTCGATGTAGAATCCTTTGAGGACGATGACGAGGATTCGCAAATAATAGAGCATCCTAATTGCAAAGACACATTAAGCTATTCTAATACTGTATACGATTCCGATGACAGCGAAGATTCCGATATTGAAAAGAATTCCGATATTGAAACTTTTGAGGGGGATGAATGCTCTTTAGAAAACCTCAGTAATGAGAATAATGAAGAAAATTCTTATGTTGAGATTGATATTAAAGAAACTGATCTATCACGGTACTCAGACGTTGTATACTCTGAGGATGTTGAACAAGAGGCAGATAAACTGAAGAGTCCTAAGGTTAGAATAAGAAACGCCGATGTTGAAACTGTTAAGATTAATCAAGAGAACACAAAACTATTATGCGGTTCCGATATTGAATATTTAGATAAAAATGAACATGAACATGAAGAATCCGAAATATTACCGAATAACGATGTTAATAAAGGCACAGAATCATTTAAGTATCGGGGTGTGGAATGTTTTGAAGATAATAAAGAAATATCTGAAAAAATAAAAAATTCCGATGAAGAATACTCTGAAAATTATGAAGAGTACGTCGATGATAACAATAAAGACTCAGAATTATCAGAATCTGTGAACGATCTTGAATCTGTAGAGGACTATGAAGAGTCAGAAAGTCTTGCTGCTAGATCTTCTGAAGATGAAAAAGACATATCTGAACCAATATTGAGTTCCGTCAGCGATGATGAAGAAGAGGAGGATTATGAAGAAGATTCAGATGAGTTAAACAATCCCGACGTTAGAACCCAAAATAATGATGAAGAAGCAACGACACAATTAAAGCATCACAATGTTGACTTTAACGATAACGAAGAGGAATTAGAAACACTAACCACTTCCGATGCCTTCAATAATGAAGACGCAGAACCGTTAACGAATCGGGGTAAAGCAGAGGACTCAAAAATATCAAAAAATATTGAACAAGAGTTCGAAACTGTAGAGAATGTCAATGTTGAATCCTTTAGTTCTGATAAAAATATCGAATCTCTAAGGAATTCCGATGTTAAGAATAAAGATGAAGACGAAGATGATGCGGAGGAAGAGGATGACGAAGATAACGAAGATGATGAAGATGATGAGGATGATGATGATGAAGATCATGAAGGTGATGAAGGTGCAGATGATGAAGATAAAGATAAGGATGAAGACGAGGTAGATGAAGGTGAAGAAAACTTGGAAATTATAAATAATTCTGATGCTGAGAACTCTCACGATGATGAAGAGTTCGGGAAGAAAGGTAATTCCGATGTTGAATTCTTTGATGCAGATAAAGAGACGCTAGAGGCAAAGAATTTTGATATTGAAACCATTGAGGAAGATGAAGTCCAATCAGAAATAATATTAAGTCATGAAGATAAGAACAAGGAGGATGACGAAGAAGACTTAAAAATAGAAGAGAGCATCGATGTTGAATCTTTTGATAATGATACAGTAGAAACAGAAACCTCATTGGATTCCGATATTGAATTTTTTAAGGAAAGCGAAGAGCCGGATCTTCAGAAGGCGGAAGAAAAGGATTTCGGCGAGCAGCCAACAGTAGAAACTGATGATGTTGGAATAATAATTGATCCTGATGTTGACAACATAGATGATGATGAAGAGTCAAAAACTTATCTTAAATCTCTTATAGATTATAAAGAAGTGACGGGACCGTTCATAAATTCTGAAGCTGAATCCTCTGAAGAAGGTGATGAAGAGGCTCAGAATTTCGATGTTCGTGAAGAAAAGGAGGATGATGAAGAGGAGCTAATAACAGTAGAAAATGCCGATGTTAAATTATATTACGAAAATATTGAAGAGCCAGAATCCTCAAGGAATTCCGAAGATGAATCCTTGGCGGAAAATGTTGGGGGAATGAGAGATAATGAAGAGGAGCAAAAAATAAAGACCGCTGTAAAATCGATTAAGGAAAATGCAAAGAAGCCAGAAATAGTTAGGAATTCTGATCTTGAGTACTTGAAGAACAATGAAAATAATTTAGAAATGGAAGTGATTCATCATGTTAACTTCACTGGGGATGTTATATCCCTTGATTATATAGACGGGACAGTTCCATTCAGCAATGTCGATGTTGAATACCTTGAGAGAGATGAAGGAGTCTTAGAAGTATTAGAGAATAACAAAGCTATGAAGGGTGATGAAAGCCTTGTAGAAGTTGAAGAGAATACTGATGTTAAAATTGAGCTATTTGTAAAAGATGATGATGAATTAAAAACAATAGAAAATGGCAATGTGGATGAGGATACAAAAATATTAACGAAAGTCCGTGTCGAATCCTTTGGAGACAATGAAGTTACAGAACCATTTAATAAAACGGATGCTTAGATAAAGATGAAGACCAGCAAACTATTAAGCATTCAGAAGTTAGATATCCCGAAAACCTAAAAATATAACACAATCCCGTTGAATCTTACGAATGCCATGAAAATTAAGTAGCGCTCAATAATCTACACGCTCAATCTGTAAACAATGATATTGAGTCAAAAACAATAGGAAATCCGGTTAAATACATGGATGTTCAATCCATGGGGAAGAGTCGAAAATATTTAAAAGTAATCCGAAGGTTGAGGATGTTATAAAAAAATCAGAAACATAAAAGACGATTCATTTGAAGTTCCTGAAAGCTGATAAACCAGTCAGCAGCGTTGATTGATTTTGATCTTTAAACAATGGATAAAAATTCTATCAAGATGAGTGTAGTTGGTAAAGGAAACTATTTTAAACTTAGAAGATACATATTCCCAACTAAAACACATTTCCTTAATACACGAAGCTCTTATTTTGACCCGCATTTTAAGCTGTTGAGATTTTGTAAAAAAGTAACCAAACCGAAAAATATAAATAAATAATTTCTGTAGCAATAACGCTGCTCGACTACCCCCAAAGGAGCAGAAACAGTAACAATTTGACAGTTTCAAAAACTGGCCAGGCCACGTGCACCGCCCACCATCCGCCCAGCCACAAAAGGCGTGCAAAATTTATAGACGCACGCATTAAGAGCCGCCAGGCACGCTCGACTAACTGCGTCGCACTCATCCGCGTCCACGTCCTTGTTCAGTTGCGCAACGCCCACGGCTTGTTTCTGGATAGTGTCCTGTTTGTAGGTAACCCCCTCTACTCTACCCCATTCTACACCGAAGGCCGACGGGACAATATATTTACGCAGCTTCTTATGCTTTTGTGGTGGTTGGCGATGTTGTTATTGCTTTTGCTGGCCCCAAAAAAAAATGTAAAAAAACTCAAGTACTGTCCTCGTTGTCCTGGCTGCTGTTGTCATTGTTCTTGTTTTTGCTTTTGTTGCTGTTGTTATTGCAGGCAGCATCTTGTGCCTCGTTTGTAGCAGTTATCTTTCGGTCCTGCTGAGCTGGCCGCGCGAAATGAAATTGTTTACTCCACTGTCATGTGCACGTGAGACGTGGACAACGCCGTGTCCTGGCTGCTCCTTACGGCACACTTGGTCTGCTGCTATCAAAAAACGAGAAATCTCTTCTCTTTCTACTTTAAGCAACAACAAAAAAATGAAAATGAAAGAAAATTCAACGTAATAATTCTTTTCCGCTCGGATAAGGTGCGATTGGAATGAGTGTGGGGAGGGCTGGAGGAGTTGCCTGGGCTTTAGCGCCGTAATTGTGCGCAATTTTTGTGGCGGTTGTGCTGCCCATTTGCCCGCAGTTGTAACATCTTCTGTTCCGAATATTTTTGTTTTTCAGCTTTAGTTGTTTTCCTCCTGAGTTGTATGTGCTTCTGGCTGGCGGGCGATTCTCTGTCGCATACTCTCCATTCACCACTTCCTCTATGTGTGGCCAGTAGCCAATTGTATGCCGATGTGTCTCACCATTTTGCTCTACACACATGAGATTTACACACACCACCCACCCACCCACATGAGCAGTTGGCGTGGCTCTAAGCCTCAGCCATTATTCATGGGGCTTATTAAGAGACAGCGCGTAAAACTGTCGCACCAAACAAAATAAACAGCACAGTCCATTTAACTGATTTCAGGGGTAAAAAAAAAAAACAGAGCACAAAATAAATATTTACAAAGAAAATAATGTGCTGTCGCGGGGGCGTGCATCCTGCTGATGATGAGCAAACAACTCGAAGCGCAGGCATTTTAATTTACAACTGTTACAGGCTGTACTTTTCCCTGGGCTCGTCCTCGACTCCTGTGGCGCATCAGACTGCTCTCGACAGCCCGTCACCAGACCCGATGTGGGCACCCCAGCTTAGCCCTTTCCCAATTTCCCTTTCCAGTAGCATTGGACTTCGAATTTAGGCTGCATCGCGCCCCGATCCTTGCAACCATTAAACTAAAACCGCATATTAGCAGGCCATAAATACAGGATGTGTTTTTGGACTCGGTACTTAAATATGATAAATGCGCGTATTGTATTACATTTGGATTTAGGGCAGCGCCAAAGACAATAAATTAGCCGGGACACACACCGATAATTGCACACACGCTGCGGCTGGTCGTACTCATTGCATATGCCCCCCCAAAAACAAAGAAATTTAGAATCTCCTTTTTTTTGCACCGAAACTAAAACGCTCTTTAATTAAAATTTAATATTATTTATATGAGATTCATTTCAAGAAATATTTCTTATGAATTAAAAAATTTACTTAATGTAAATTTAATAAAATAACAGCGGTCATTCAGAAATAAGTCGAGAGGCTAAACGATTCCAACTTAAAGATCAGTAATTTTAAGAAATTCAACATCTAAATGTCTAATTTCCCTTGGTAATAGGCACAGCGGGTACATGTATATATAAATCTATATATAAAATAAATTAAATAGTTTCCGTAGTTTGCATTATCGTTAACGACGATATGTGGTTCCATATAGGGTATTCACTGCTGCAAGACTCAAGAAATATGGTACCCTTCGAGTCAGTGTATATAAAATGCAACCGGTAATTATGTATGGAAGCGAACAACATACACTCCTCCCAGTACGCTGTCCAGTTGGCTGCCCAGCTTGGTGTCGTCAATGCAACGTTTGCCAAATTTACACAAATTCCAATTGCCTGGCGACTGCCAACTACCGGAGTTGAGTTGGTCTCTGGTCATCGCTGCTGTTTTATGAAGATTGCCCCGAAACGTGTTTTCGACTGGCCAATAAAGAGTGGTGGCCAAACTTCTTCCTCATCTTCGGCTGGGTCGATTATTATGGGCAGCGGTGTGCTGCAATTATGTCGTCCAATTAATATTAACACAGCGGGCGGCGGCTGATGAAGGTGTGGGGCACGGGAGGCGGGTTTGGCATTTTATGCATAAGCTATTTATGAAATTTATTGTCTCTGATGGCATTCAATGAACAACGGCAGTTGGTTAACTGAGACTGGGGCTGGGACTGGGACTGGGACTGGGACTTGGACTGGGAGTGGGACTGGGGCTGGGACCACCCGTTGGTCGTTTGTAGTTCGTAGTTTGTGATCGCTGAACTTATGCAAAATGATTCGATCGGTTTTGCGATTAGGCGTAAAAATGCTAAACAGATGTCGGCATCGGGCAGGCCAGGCATCAATCAAGCTGTCAATATGGCAATATATGGCCAGTGCAAGGTGTCTGCATAATTGCGGTGCCCAAAGTTAAAATTTATTATAATTTCCACACTTCAGACGCGAGTCGAACTTGAAAGCTGAAAACTATTCAGTATGCTGATCATTTTTTTCATGTAACTCAGTGTCATTATTTTGATAGACGTTGCACAAGAGGCAGCTGCCATCGCTACGACGTGACATGCCGCAGGCTGGCAGGAGCAAAAGCAAGAGCAAGATCAGAAGCAGGACTTGGTACAGGACAAACGAGGAAACACATACTGCGCGCCCTTTAATTAACAATTAAGTTGCAATTTTATGAGCAGTGTAAGCTCGTCTCTTTTAATCCCGCTGCGAATGCGAACCGCAACTCTTAATGGCTCCTTCGAGTCGCCTGCTTATTATGTTACGCGTTCAGCTCGTTTCTCACACGTGCATGAATATTAAAGGGCTGACAGAAAATCTTCCATTGTGGCTAGTTCAGGCTGTAGTAGCAGTTGCAGCTGCCTCTTGGCCGCAGATCCGACCTCACTGATAATGGCCCCAGCTTATCTAGGGCTTGTGGCTTGTGGCTTTTGGCCACTGCCACTTATCGTATGAGCTGGCTTTAATTGAATTTGCGCCGAATACGCGTCAAGTCCAGAGTTGACTGTTCAGTATTTTGCATGTAGCATTTTATTTTATTAACATGTTAAGGGCCACATTGTAATTTATGTTCGAGACAGTTCGGAAAAGTACACAAAAGAGCTTTAGGGCTGGCAGCGCGATGCGACACGCTGATGGATTACAAGCAAATTGCTCGCAACTCTACCATAAATTTTGATGCAATTTTAATGAAATTAATGGCCTGACACACTGGCAAACAATGCGAACGCTAAACAGCTCGAACCAGTTTCAGATTATGGGGAGATATCCCCAACAAATGCGATGAAAGCACACAACATTTTGTGCAGATCATAAAGGTAACTGCAGGGTGATGAAAGTTGGTCGAAACTCTGATCGTTTAAAAGGGCGAAATACCCTTAAATTAGTTGGCCAGGAGTTTGCTGAAAGTCTTCTGCCTTAACATTCACCTGAGCAACGCCTTAAGAGGTGCTTATCATTATCCGAGCTTTCACATTATTATTAATATATATTGTGCGAGTAAATGTATATATAGTATATCATTTGGCAAGTTCTGCATTAAAATTCTAAGCATGGCTCGCTATGATAATTAGGCTGCGGCATACAATTTGAAAATGCATTTTACATTAACTTAATTATTTTCCATCAAAAAACATGCCAGCAGCGACATGAGAATGCGAATGCAATTGGCTGGCTTAAAGTGTAGTTGGCATTGTTTATGGCCCTGCCGCACGCACTACTTTGCTAGGCTAAGGCAGAACCTGCCCTCCCCCCTCGCCCTTCGCCAACCGTGCCACTGATAGTCAGCGCTGATAACTGCCATCACCGAAGGTGGAGTTAGAGCTTGTGTCAGTTGCACATTTGACGGGGTGGCATGGACAGTGCCACAACAAAGTTGCATACCACATGCAAGTTCTGGTTCCGTGGAAAATGCAAACTGGGGTAACGCCTAATTACAGGACGGGCTTTATCGCTGGCAAATCGGCCATCAAATATGCAGCACAGCGCGTGCATAGATAAAAGCAACATAAATTCGCCAAGATATACGAGCGCCAATCATGAAAAGCAACGACAGGCACAAATCCCCCAGCAATTAACACATTATACTCTTCAATAAATTGAATGTGTGTATGACATTGGCTCAGAATTCAACATGTGGTGAATAGAGCAACGTCCTCGCACCTGCCCCAGCCGCACTCGTGCGCCCCTCTTGCTCGTGTCGCAACAACAAAATCGATACGCATGCGATGCGGCTGCTGAGACTGAGCCGAGCTGCTGCTCCAAGCCACGGCCTCTGATAGCATGACGACATGGCAGGGCGCACAGGAAGCTAGAGCTGAAGCTGAGCATGGGGCAAGCGACAAGCGAAGCAACATGCGCTCGGCATTATAATGCCAGACGCGACACAGACCGACCCCACGCACACACACACACACACACAAAGCACACATACATATACACGTGTATACATACCCATATAGACAGGGGCAACTGCTAAAACGAACTGCTGACTGGCAACGTTAAAACCGGTAAATCTTCATAGAGTTTGCTGCGTACGTTGCTCTGCGCTGCTGTAATACCCTACACTAGTTGGGTCCATCAGCATCAGCTCTTCGATTAATGCTTTTAGTGCGAATTATGCACTCATTAAATTCATACAAAAAGCAGTTAAGTAATCCCTTCAAGATGATTTCTTAAATGTTCGGTGTTTGGCAAAAAAC